GCTCCCAGGAGGCCCAAGAGTGTCCCGAGAGGCTTCCAGGAGGCCTGTAGCACTGTAGCACTGCGAAGCGCGTCCGTGCGAGCACAGAAAACACGCACCTGGTAGAAGATGCGGCCCAGCCAAGAACCGCTCACCTTTCGCCGGTAAGCTCCTCACTATCAAGGGGGCTGGGCACCACATCAATCTCGCCTTCCAGGCGAGGGCCTTGAAACGGGGTTCAAAACCGACGGGCTGGCGTAACCCAGAATAGCTGGATGAGCCCACCGCGGGGGTTCCAAATCCTCCTCCTCCTTGATTCCTCGGCCCGCCCCACCCCGTGGGCTCTATTCCCCATGTGGGGGCCTAGGCGTAACGGTAGAACCTTGGACAAGGGACCAAAGTACTCACGCCAGGGGCGGCCAGCTGGTCAGAACCCTCCCTGCACCTGTCACGAGCTCGACATGTTCTTCCAGGGCCAACGTACAGTCCGCAAGGGAACGGGGATCAACGTCGTGCTTCCCGGCGGCCTCCTTTGCTAGAGTGTCCGCCATCCGATTCCCTAGGATTCGATATCGGTCAGAATCGCTGACCGCATCTTCAACGTTGCGGTGAGCTTTGACATGCGAGAGCGACAGCCATGGCCCTGTCGTGGCATGAGCCAGAACCCTCCAATAATGACTAAAGAGGGTGGTGCCCTTGAGGCTGAGGGCCGGCTGCGAAACTCCGCGGAAAAGAGCCTTGCAGTCCACCGCAAATTCTGGGGACTGCCCAAGATCAGAATGCAGCCCCGCCGCTACGAGTCCGGAGTGCTCACAATGGACAGCGTGCTGAGGTAGCACTCGGGGCTGAGGGGAAGACACAGCGCGTAGAAGGTTGCCATCATCATCTATCTGGCACGCTGCCAAGCCCCCGCGCTCCAGCAAATCAAGCCCGGGGTGGAGGCACGAGCCATCTACAAATGTGGGCCTACCAGGGTCAAACTGAACTTTGTCACAAGGCCCCTCCCCATCTCTAAAAACGAGTTCCCAGTCAACCACCGGTGGGTCGACATCGGGGGCTGCCAACCACAGATGCGCGAAGAGTGGTTGGCGGGGACCTGCTGCAACTGCTCGCTCGACAAATTTCCTCGAATCCTGGTCCCGGAGGGGGGCGCACCGAGGGCACTCCCACAGACGATGAAAAGGAGTGTCGAAAGATCCACTGTTGCAGTAGGGGGCAACTAGTGGGAACGTCATAACCCCACTTAGCCAACACGTGGCTGTGACAAAACAGTCCCCTAAAAGACCATGCACACAGGCCATCTCTCGAGTGCTCAGCTGCTTACCTACCTGCTTGAACACTCGACAGATTTGGGTCCTCCACAAACCCCGAGTGAGCAGTACGTGCCCATAGGGGTTGGGTTCATCACCAAGCTTAGATGCGATTGTGGCTAGCACGCTGCGCGACCTAATGCTGTCATTAAAGAGGGAGGTAAGCCATTGGGGGGGAAGCTGCAGGAGAGAGTAGACCTGCCCCTCGGGGCTCACTAGATGGGTAGCATCACGAAACGCCCATCCAGCCAGCTCCACCCACTGCAGCATCTCGGTGAGGGGCCCCCGGGATTTTCCCAGCCATGATTTTTTGGTGGTGCTCCTCAGGTGCTCGCGCGCATCCACGAAGGCATTCTGCAATTCCCTGGCAGACAAGATGTCGACAAGACAAGAGGCCTGTCCTCCTCCTCCTCCTCCTCCTCCTCCCTTTCCCGATCCTCCCCTCAAACTCTCCCAAGTGTCCCCTGCCGAAGAGTTTCCAGAGCGGCTGGTAGACCACACAATCCGATAGCTTGGCCAAGCTCTCGCCAAACGTTTGGCCACAGAGGTGCTTCGGGCGTCTTGGGTCCGCCGCTCCCTGTGGCTTGCCACAAGGGTGCGCGGCGTGCTGGACGTTAGAGTGGTCTCGGTTCTTTTCAGAAGCTCCCCGTGGGGTCTCGGCCCAACCCGCCGGCCTCCAAGGAAGACCCGGAAAGCCGGGAAAAACACGACAACTCGCCTTCAAGATGGCCAAAGCTGGTCTCGAAGATGCTTCTAACACGGCAACACGGCTAAGGTGGTCCTAAGAAGAGCCCGAGATGGCCCGTAGATGTCTCCAATACGGACCGCCATGCACCCAAGACAGCCCCAGACGGCCCAAAGATGGTGCGAGAGGCCTCCAAGAGGATCCCCAGGAAGGCCCGAGGAGACCAACATCATTGATGCCCCTTAGATTGTTGAAGGATTTGGGCATTTGCTCTTTTTCGGTCCCCGACGGCCCAGGAGGCCACTCAGGTGGTCCCAAGAACGCCCAAGAGGCCTCCAAGATGGCCCCATGACTGCACAAGAGGCCCCCGAGACGGCCCCACGAGAGCATATGAGAGGCCTCCTTCGCCATCTTTGGGCCTCCAAGACGGCCCTGCAGCGCCCCAACAGAAGGGCGGAACATGTACAACGCCCGCCCCCAAGAGGCCCAAGGAGGCTCCCAAGAGGCCTCCAAGAGGCCCTCAGGAGGCGCTCAGGAGGCCCTAAGGGTGCCCAACAAGTTCCCAGAGGCCTCCTCTCCCTCCTTTTTCCTTCCTGTTCCTCTTCATTTTCCTTCCCCAAAATGTTGCCCGAAGGGCTCCCACAACGGCTGGGGGAGCACACAGTCCGATAGCGTGGCCGAGCTCTGGCCACAACGCTCGGTCACACAGGCGCTTCAAAAGGCAGGGGGCGGCGGTGATTCGCCGTAGGCGTCTTCGATACCCGTCGGTCGGAAGAAGTAGGTAAAAGCACGAAAGAGGAAGGCGGATCAAGTTGATTGGGCCCAGGCCCTCCCACAGAATTACAAAAACACAACACAAGCATGCCGAGTCTTGAGGTAGGAAGGCGCGTGAAGTAGATTGGGATCTGAGACGTCCAGAAATACCTGATTTCAACGACCGACTTGTACTCTTTGAGGGCCCAGGGGGAAATCTGTGCGCTCCTGGGCACTCTCGTGCGCTCAGGGGGCGGCGGGGCCCCTTACTTTCGGCATGGCCCAAAACCGCCTCGTCTCGGGGCCCGGGGAGCCGCTTAAGACAAAGCCAGGACGAGGACAAATTCGGGTGAGGATAAATCGAGAATCTCTGAGATCTAGCGGCTCTGGAAAATGTCTTGGGCGCCGCGGCCTTCTCAGAGCGTTCCGGGACGTTCTGAGAGCGTTCCAGAACGCTCTGGAACGAAGTTATTCTCGTCCTAGCCCCGCCCGACTGGGAGCCGCTCCAAGAGACCAACATCACTGGAAACCGCTTGGTTATTCGATGCTCTTGTCTTGCCTGAAAGGCGCTCAAGAGGACCCCAGGAGGGGCACCGCATGGGGAACACGCGCGAGCATTTCGAGCACCCCGCGCCGAGATGGCCTTCGAGACCGTCAGGAGGCCCCCCAGAGGCCCGACGAGGAGGCGAACGAGGGGGACAGAGGTGCACAAGGGACGGCAGCGCCAAAACCAGCCGTTGCACCAACCTTCTCTAAGCCGTGTCGAAACCCTAGATCATATACCGTGCCTGCGCGCTACAGGCGACCTCACCACCAGGCTCGCCACAAACCGGGAGGCCCACAGAGTGAGGCACAAAACAGGGAAGTCCACAGAGTGAGAACCGTGCACGATTTCGCGCTGTCTTGGGCGCGGGATGGAAATGAGGAGGTGTTGCGGCGTCGCGCCCTTGCTACAGTAGGACCTAAGCCAAAAGAGAACCCTCCAAGAACATGAAACCCTCCGACGGCCAAAACACACATAACTTCCGAATGTACCCTCCCCAGGATGCCCAAGAACATCCAACAAACACGGAAAACACCAGGGCACCCTCCCCGAACCGACCTCGATCTTATACCTCGGTCCGACTGGAATCGTTCTTCCTGGTTCTGCTGTTGCCGCCCCCGCCCGCGGTCCTCCTCCTCCTCCTCCTCCTCCTCCTCCTCCTCCCCCTCCTCCTCCCCCTTCTCTACTTCCCCTCTACCCCTTGTCCATGTTCCTGGCCGCCTGGCTGTCCGTCCGTCCGTCCGTCTGTCTGTCTCCCCGGCTCTCTGAACCGCGGCGCTTTGGGCTTCTTAGCTCGGGGACGCGTCGGCCACCGCCGCCCTCTCCCTTGTCGGTGGCCCTGACGAGGTTGGGGGAGAGGGTGCCGAAACGCGCCCAGAGTCCAGCAAGGCATGAGGGTGCAAACCCGACTTGTCTGGCTGATGCTCTGGGGGGGCCTGTGCTCAGGGGAGGCTGCAGCACCGCTCAACGATGTGCTGTTTAACCGAACCTGCAGGGTGGGCCCTTTCCCAAATCCGTGCTTCGGTGCGGATCGTAAGCGCGCCTCGTCTCCGTCGTCGTCGTCGTCGGCGTCGTCGTGGTCGTGGTGCGTGTTGCTCTGCTCGGGATTCTGTTTCCCTTATGCAGTGACCACCCACTTGGCTTGCCAGGCATTGCACGCCGCCTGGCTGTCCGTCCGTCCGTCTGTCTGTCTGTCTTCCCGGCTCTCTGAGCCGCGGCGCTTTGAGCTTCTTAGCTCGGGGACGCGTCGGCCACCGCCGCCCTCTCCCTTGTCGGTGGCCCTGACGAGGTTGGGGGAGAGGGTGCCGAAACGCGCCCAGAGTCCAGCAAGGCATGAGGGTGCAAACCCGACTTGTCTGGCTGATGCTCTGGGGGGGCCTGTGCTCAGGGGAGGCTGCAGCACCGCTCAACGATGTGCTGTTTAACCGAACCTGCAGGGTGGGCCCTTTCCCAAATCCGTGCTTCGGTGCGGATCGTAAGCGCGCCTCGTCTCCGTCGTCGTCGTCGTCGGCGTCGTCGTGGTCGTGGTGCGTGTTGCTCTGCTCGGGATTCTGTTTCCCTTATGCAGTGACCACCACCACCACCCCTCCTCCTCCTCCTCCTCCTCCTCCTCCTCCTCCTCCTCCTCCTCCTCCCCCTCCTCCTCCCCCTCCTCCTCCCCCTTCTCTACTTCCCCTCTACCCCTTGTCCATCTTCCTCTCCGTCTCCGTTCTATGTCTGGCCGCCTGTCCTTATCGGTGTCCAGCGCCGCGAAGATAGCTCGGACCAGCTCGTCGCGGGGCGCCCCGACCAGAATCTTCTCGACCGCGCTGGAGGTGGTGCCTGGCAAGAAACACAAAACAATACCAAGGAAGCCCCGTCCCCCCTCTTTTCCATCCACCCTCGTCCAACAAAAGAAAGGAGCATGTTGACGCCAAATGAAAAAATGGAGTGACGTTTCGACCCCATCCTACGGCCAGATTCATTTGCCGACGGGCCGCAGGGCCCATCTGATGCCTGTTCACGGCGAGGTGTAGAAGTGGCAGTTGGGGCTCCGACGGCCCGTGTGATGGCAGACCCCTGGGAGTGGAGCAAATGAGGGGCACCACCTGAGATGATGACGCCTTGGCGGCCATCGCCAGGGAAGGAAGAGAGCTGCCGATACTCACGATACTCTCGGCAGCCCTTGCGGGAAGCGGTCGGCAATGTTGCAGCCGAGTCTCGTCCACAAGAGAACCGACCTGCCACAACCTGGGGAAAGTAATAAGGTATAGGGGGGGCATGGAAGCCGAGCATCGGAAAAACATGTACTGCGAGATACAAAGGCGCCTTGGCCTGAACGAGCGGGTTCTCCTCCCCCCCCTCCAGCAGCACAGCGAGGACGCAGGAGAAGGAAGGGGGAATGGGGACAGAGTAGGCCTTGGGTCGGGCCAGGGGGTCAGGTCTGCAGAGCACCCCAACCGGACGTCAAGGGGCGTAACCAACCTGTTCGGTCAAGCTAACATTTATGCACCACACCATGCGTCGAGCCGAAACTTTGGACATATTGCGAAGCGAACTGTTGGATTTTGCCCACCTTCGTCGGCTTAACCGGCAAGGCGCTTGACCACCCTGACGCCCCGTTTTTGGTGGTCCTGCAGAGGAAGGCGCTCTCTGACCCTCGGCCCTACTCAAATAAAGTAGGCCAAGGCCGACGTGCTTCTCAGCGTGAAGCTCTCCCGCCCTACAGTCGACATGCTGTCATGAGGAACCCTTGAAAAGGAACGAGGACCCTTTTTCCCATAAGTTAAACTTCGATTTCCCAAAGAAAACTTGAGGAACACCCAAGCCTAAGACAAACTGTAAAACAAGCACTGAAAAAACACTGAGCCCCTCCTCAACGAAAAGGGTTCCTTCTTCAGCGGCCCGACTGTAAGACAAAACCGGCGCAGGAGGACGCCGACCGCACGCCCACCCCGACCTGGCAGGGCCCACCCGGTGACCAGAGTGAGCCTGGTTGTGCTCGGTGAAGGCACGAGGCTGGCGTCTTCCAGCGCTGGACCCTGAAATCCTGGCATTGGATTTTTTTCTGCACCGGACGTCTTCGCTCAACTTCGGGCCCTGGGGCCCTCACATTTCGATCCGGTTCGAAAAATGACGCAGAAAGATGGGATCCAGGCTTCCGGTCGTGATTTTTCACGATGGTGCAATTTTTTCGCAAAGTCGGATCTCAGGGTAACACAAGGAGGAACACAAGGAGGAGTACAAGCAAACAGGACGAGGAACACAAGGAGGAGTACAAGCAAGCAATTGTTCAAAGCCTCGCTGTCGATTAACGATCTCCATCGCAGGGAATCCGCGGGCCATCCACACCGCCGCGGCAAAAAGAGTAGTGCGCCAGGATCTGACCCCTGAGGAGAGCGTTCCTTATCAAACGCCCCCTGCGTAGTCTCTGAGCACATGGGCTCCCCAGGAGGAGGAAACAGAGGGGAGGAGGAGGAGGAGGAGGAGGAGGAGGAGGAGGAGGAGGAGGAGGACGACGACGAAGGCGGCCCACCGCGCGGGCACGTGGCACCTGCAATCGGAGGCGGGGTCGGCGGGGGGACCATGACGGGCACAGCCACTCTCAGCTTCTCCAGCATGCTTCGCAGGTCAGAGTCGGTGGTTTCGTCCGTAGGGTCGTCCACGATGGTCGTGAAACCGCGGAGGTCCACGGAGCTGCCTTCTTCTTCTTCTTCTTCTACCTCCTCCTCCTCCTCGTCCTTCTCCTTCCTCCCTTCTCCTCCTCATCATCCTCCTCCGCCTCCCACGCCGCTTTTTGCTCTTACGGTTTCCTTTCCCTCCTGGGCCCTACCCCCCTGCCTCCACCAGCGTCTGCACAGAGGGACTTGTAGGCGTCTTCCCAATCAGCCTCGGTGCCCTCGAAGCCTGTGAATTTCGCGAAAACCTTCATCTCGCGCTGGTTTAGCCGCCCGTCCTGTGCGGTATCGATCGAGTCAAGGAGATAGGGATGCTGTCTGTCGACGCTGTCTGTCGCCCATATGCCTGCACCCCCGCCACCGGTACAGGGGGAAGGGAGAATTGGGAATGAACCGATGACTTGAGATCGAGTGTTGTCTGCCTTCAGGCGGCATCTCCGCAAATTATCACTCAGAAAACCGCAGCCTACGAAACAAACGCTGTCGAGTTTGTTTCCACAATCAATAGTCGGGGCATTTGTGTGAAGTTGCTGTTTCTGTCAGTTCACCACATCTACGCGCGCTTCTGATTTGAATCCGCGAGCTACAGCCGAGCAAAACGGGGTGCAGAAATAATCCTGACAATCCTGACAAAATGATAAGACGTTTCCTGTGTGAAAAGCCGTCTTAAGCACTGAGTTGCACACGAAACCGCTGTCTGAAAAGGCAAGGCATGCGCTCATAGACAACTGCACGCGCAAATCATGACAAAAATGAGCCCGGCGCAACCCCAAATTGGAGAAAGCCTCCTAAACAAGAGCGCGTGTGGACCAAGACGAAAGAAGACTAAACGATGGCCGAAGAGAAGACTACGCGATGCCCAAGGAATCAAGCGTTCAATATCAAGGAACCAACACCAAGGAACATAACCAGTACCAAAGAACCAAACAACCAAGACCAAGGAATCAAACAAAAACAAAACACCTGAACCGAGAAATGGTGAGCAGGGAACCCAGGAACCAAGAAAGCGTGGAGTCATGACTAAGGAACCACGATGCCAAGCCCAAGGAACAGAGGAACCAGGACCAATGAACCCGAGCAGCGCCCTGCAAGGACACAACGAAAAATGGAGCCCTGGGGAAGACCCCATGCAAGGGGACAAAGCCCCGCAGAAAGCCAGCGTCAGTTGGGGCTCGCGCGCACAGGCTCTTCAATAACACGCACGAGCCTTGTAAAGAAACAGAGCCAAGGAACCCAGGGGGGCCCACCTGTAAGGGAACGAACCAAGACAGTGAACCCCGGGGAACCCCATCGGGACGGAGTCTGGCACCAAACATGTAAGGACCCATCAGGCAAAGCCTAATTCAGGAAAAGCCACACGACACTCAACCCTGGAACCCAATATTTCTGATGCCGTGCTCCGAGCACTGCGTATTGACAAAGGCTACAGGGCGTGCAGTCACAGAATTGGCGTGATCGTGAGGCTTGCGAAAGGGGCATCTGATGAGACTCTGGTATGGCATCTCTTCGCTCCAGATCCACCTCCTCGCGTACGACTGATAATCCTCCCCCCAGTCCTCCGTCCTCTCATTCTCAGCCTCCGGCCCCTTTTGGGCCTCCGGCCAGATCCTCCTAGTTGGGCTCCTCTCCCCCCCCTCCCTGGGTTACGCGCATCCCCCCTGGGTCCTCCGTGTCTACTACCCCCAGTGGGCCTCCATGCGCGCTCGGGCAAGCTGGCTTCAGCGCAAAGCGTCCCCTGACCACTGACGCCGGTTGCTTGCTCAAGCCGCCTCCCATCTCCCCCCGTTCAGAATCGGGTCTGGTAGAAACTATGCCTCTCTGTGGCTGCCGAGGCCAACGAGGTGTCTCCAGTCAGCCGTGGAGGAGCAGAAGAGGGCCCCAGACATCCGCCGATATGGTTCTTCAATCCGCGGCCACAAATTTCCCGACTGTTTTTTCGTCCTGGTTCCATGACCCGATAACGGGCCCTGGGGACCGAAATCCAGGAAAAGCCGCTGGATTGAAAAAATCCGCCCACCCTGTATCGGAGTGTGGAAGAGGCTTTTCGCTCTGCCCCCTCTGAGGCTTTCCTGTCTGCCCCCGCTTCGTCGCCGTCGTCGTCGTCGCTCCTTCCCCTTTCCCAGGCATCCCCCTCAAGTGGCGAAGCAAAAGGAAATTGAGCAATGTCGTAATCACAAAATTGAGCCGCGTCGTCATTGAGTCGAAGGGAAACCCATTCTCTTTCATCCGTGCCCTGCCAGGGGGGGGGGGGGGCGGGTGGTTCTGGGGTGGGTGGGTCCCGGGAGGGGGGTCCTGGGGAAGTCCGGGGGGGGGTCCCGGGTCAGATACGACGCCCACCCCCCGGGAATCCCGCGGCCCGACAAAGCCCCAGGACGAGCCAAGAATGTCCCAAGAGACCTTCACGAGACCACGTACTTTCTCTGTCAACATCTGCGGGCACCACTACCACCTCCGAGTCTCCCCTCCCCCCTCACAACTAACCAACCCTCCATTCCCCCCCCCCTCTCCCCTGAACCTCTGCCTCCACCTCCTCCTCCCCATCCTCCTCACCCTCATCCTCCGCATGCGGCTCCTCCCCCTGCTCGTCCTACTTCTCCTCCTTCTACCTCGTCGTGGTCAGCGTCCTCAGTTTCAAGGTCGGCGGCACCGGCCGTAAGGCCTTCGCAATCATATACTTGGATCTCTGAGTCCGTGGCTGCCAAGGCCAAGGAGGTGTCTCCAGTCACCCGTGGAGGAGCAGGAGAGGGCGGAGGATAAAGCCGGCGCGCTGCTAGCCGCGCGGCGGGGCAGGCGGCTAGCGGCGGCCGCGCTCTGCCTCGGGGGTGCCGGGAGGAGGGGGAGGAGGAGGAGGAAGAGGAGGAGAACGCCGGAGGGGCAGGTCGCTTTGGGGCTCCCAGGCTCTGCTGGGACTCGTGCTTTGCTCCTTGAGTCGTCGAACGTGCCAGCTCCCCGGATCTCCCAGCGTGCGGGGGCCACCGTGGGAGTGCAACAGATTGCGGAACTGACCTCCTCCTCCTCCTCCTCCTCCTCCTCCTCCCTTCCACCTCCCTTTCTCCTCCTTCGCCTCGTCCTCCTCCTCCTCCTCTTCTCTCCCTCTACCTCCCCCCCCCCCTCCCTCCCTCCCTCCCCTCGGGGTGTCAGAGCGGGCGACGTGTTCGGCCGCCCGTCCTTGTCTCCGTCGAGCGTATTGAAGACCACCTCGACGAGCTGGGCGCGTGAGAGGTGCGCATTGGCAGGCCCACCAGCATCCACCGCTGGTGCGGGCGCCTTCGCCTGCTCAAGATAAGGGGCTTCCAGACCGGGACCAGGGGAAGCAAAAGGAGCAGCAAGCCAGGCCGAGGAGGAGCAGGGAGCGGGAGCAGGAGGGGGGTGGTGAGTGAGCACTGGGTGAGCTTGGTCGGGTTCCTGGGACCCCCTGGAGGGCACAACTAGAAGCGTACCACACAGCACACAGAGCGGTGTGGTGATCACGTTGGCTTCTCCGGGGCTTCTGAATCCCCCCTGGCCTTCGGCGTGGGCTGCGGCACAATCGCTGTGACGACGCCGGCGGTAGCCACCTCGCGGAGGGTCGATACTTCCTGTCCTCTCTCTCCGTCTTCCCTCCACCCTGTCTCCTCTCCTTTCAACTTTCTTGCCCCGAGCTCCCATTTTCCTCCCATTTCTCCTCATCCTGCTCGTCCTCTTCGTCAACTTTGACCTCCTCCTTTCTCCTCGTCCTTTCTTCTCCTCCTCCTTCTCCTCATCCTCTTCCGCCTCCTGCCTCTCCTCCTCCCCTCCCTCTTCTCCCCATCCTCCCTTTCATATACACGGCGGGGGACACCCCAACCGAATTTCGAGCCTCTGGACCTCCTGGACTCCCTTGCATCATTTCTCCTGGGGGGTTCTGGGGCTTCCTGGACGTCACAAGCTGTCGGCAGGGCGCCTGAGAGGCCTCGCGAGCCGCCAGAGCTTCCTCGAGGTATTCTGAGCGCCGTCGCCATGCTGAGCAAGCTCGGAATCGGACGACCTCTCGCTGGCATGCCAGCGAGCTGTACTACTATTCGCGCAAGGGGCGTGGGCCCTTCAGGGCCACCTGGCACGGGCCAGCACAGGTGCTCGTCCAGGAGCAGCGGACTCTCGGAGGACCACTATGTCAGACATCATGGAGATCGCGCGCCTACCTTCGACGACCTGACCTCGGAGAGTTCGACCTGAGCTGCGGAACTTCGAGCCCCGGGCCATGGCGCCGGCCGAGGACCAGAAGACTTCCTTCGTGCGATCGAGCAGTAGTGTCTGACGTGAGTACATCGAGCGCGCAGGAGAAATTAACATCGTCTTCGATTTCACCCCCCTTCGCCCCCCTCCTCCTTCTCAGTCTCCTCCTTCATTTACCTTCTCCCTCCTCCTTTCCTCCACTTCCTTGGCAAGGCCACTCAGAGAATGCATCAAGACTCGACGCGGCTGGTTGGGGGGGAAGGGAAGGAAAAGGACGAGTTTCGACTCACGGTCAAAGACATAATGAGGGGGAGGACGACGAAGAGGCCTTGGTGATCGCTGAGCTGAGCTCGACGTCGGTACAGTAGCAGCCGGCGGCGTCCTCCTTGTCGTTCACCAAGGACGAAAAGAAGTTCAGGTCGACGCCGACAGATGGGTCTCTTTTCTTCTCCTCGGAAGAGGAGGGGAGGTCGAGGAGGGGATGTCGAGGAGGGGAGGAGGAGGGGAAGGGAGGATAGGAAGGAAGGGGAGGGCGAACGAAGGGGGAAGAGGAGAGGGATAAGAGGGGTGGGGGCAGGTGATGGGGGGGGAGGAGGGGGAGGGGGAGGGGAAGGAGGGTAGGGGAGGGGGAGGTCGCACGTGGGAGGGGTAGGAAAAGGGGCATGGAAAAGAGTCGGTACATGAGGGCATGCCTTACGAATTGTGCGATCCCGACAGGTTTGAGCGAGGGCAACAGGGTACAAGGCCTCTGGTCAGCACGCAGCCAGCCGATTGGGACGCAAACGCTGCAGCCGAATACCTCTCGTCGAGATTTGGCGGCCGCAGTGGGTGCGCATGCCCTCCCAGATACCTGGAACTTTCAGCTGTTCGGGGGGGGGAGGAGGTGAGGGAAAGGTCAAACTAGCCAGCTCGAGCGAGTCAAGCATGGCATGCCCATTCCCACCCGCCCTCCCACAACATAAGAAACAGTGATGGCACAACTGGGGGCTGGGCGGGCATTCAAGTGCGAAGAGGATACCCCAGGACACCGCATTGACGTCCGCGCGGGATGCGCGCCGCGTCCCATTGCCGCCGCGCATTTCGAATCGTCGACGGCAAGACTGGCCATGTTTTGTAAAGAACAACGGACACGTTCCGCCCTCCCACAACATAAGAAACAATGCTGACGCAACTGGGTGCTGGCGCGTAGTGGTAGTAGTAATAGTAGTAGTAATAGTAGTAGTAGTAGTAGTAGTAGTAGTAGTAGTAGTAGTAGTAGTAGTAGTAGTAGTAGTAGTAGTAGTAGTAGTAGTAGTAGTAGTAGTAGTAGTAGTAGTAGTAGTAGTAGTAGTAGTAGTAGTAGTAGTAGTAGTAGTAGTAGTAGTAGTAGTAGTAGTAGTAGTAGTAGTAGTAGTAGTAGTAGTAGTAGTAGTAGTAGTAGTAGTAGTAGTCGTAGTAGTAGTAGTAGTAGTAGTAGTAGTAGTAGTAGTAGTAGTAGTAGTAGTAGTAGTAGTAGTAGTAGTAGTAGTCGTAGTAGTAGTAGTAGTAGTCGTAGTCGTAGTAGTAGTAGTAGTAGTAGTAGTAGTAGTAGTAGTAGTAGTAGTAGTAGTTAGTAGTAGTAGTAGTAGTAGTATAGTAGTAGTAGTAGTAGTAGTAGTAGTAGTAGTAGTAGTAGTAGTAGTAGTAGTAGTAGTAGTAGTAGGAGTAGTAGTAGTAGAAGTAGTAGTAGTAGTAGTAGTAGTAGTAGTAGTAGTAATAGCATTAGGATCATTATTATTACTCGTAGTAGTAGTGGTAGTGGTGGTAGTAGTAGTAGTAGTAGTAGTAGTAGTCGTAGTCGTAGTAGCACACTCAAAACTTGTGCTAAGAAATCTTCCAGTGAGAAATTGAGACCCAACTCCGCTGAATTTCTTAACCCCCTTGCGAGAGCCAGCTTTGAAGCGTGCAATTTCTTAGCGCAGCGCGACGCCAGTGTGGGTGGTTCCGATGAAGATTGTGCCGGTGATTGTGCCGATTGCGGCGCCGGGGGCTCTGCAGCAAACAACAGACAGGAACAAGTCAAGATCTGGGCGAGGATCTGGGTGGTGATCTGGGGGAGTATCCGGGGGAACAACCAGAGCAAAATCCGGGAGGCGATCTATGGAAATATGTAAGAAGATCTGGGGGGAGACGTGGAGGAAAATCTGGAGAAATATCTGCAGGAACATATGCAGGGAGATCTGGGGAAGTATTTCGATGAACGCACGGGGAACAAGATAGAGGAAGATCTCGATGAAGATCTGGAGGAAGATCTGGAGGAATATCTGGAGGAATATCTGGAGGAAGATCTGGAGGAAGATCTGGAGGAAGATCTGGAGGAAGATCTGGAGGAAGATCTGGAGGAAGATCTGGAAGAAGATCTGGCTGAAAATCTGGAGAAAGATCTGGATGAAGATCTGGAGGAAGATCTGGAGAAAGATCTGGAGGAAGATCTGGAGGAAGATCTGGAGGAAGATTTGGACGATTTGGACGAAGATCTGAAGGAAGATCTGGAGGAAGATCTGGAGGACGATCTGGCGGAAGATCTGGAGGAAGATCTGGAGGAAGATCTGGAGGAAGATCTGGAGGAAGATCTGGAGGAAGATCTGGAGGAAGATCTGGAGGAAAAGTTCTGGAGGAAGAGTTCTGGAGGAAGAGTTCTGGAGGAAGATCTGGCGGAAGATTTGGAGGAAAATCTGGAGGAAGATCTGGAGGAAGATCTGGAGGAAGATCCGGAGGAAGATCTGGAGGAATATGGGAGTGGATATGGGAGAAGATCTGAAACGACGATCTGAGAAAAAATATGGAAGGATATTTAAAAGAAGATATTGGGATTCATGAGAAGGAAAATCTGGAGGAAGATCGGACGAGATGTGTGAAGATATTGATGAGGATCTGCTGGGAGATCTAAAGAAAGATTGTGGTACTACTGATGATGACGATGATGATGATGATGATGATGATGATGATGATGATGATGATGATGATGCGGGTTGCGCGGATGATGAGGATGAAGATCACGAGGATGACGATGATGACGATGATGATGAAGATGAGGACGGCGACGAGGAGCGCCGAACCCGAGGGCCAAGGAAGCATCTTCCAGATCTTCCTCCAAATCTTCCTCCAGATCTTCCTCCAGATCTCCCTCCAGATCTTCCTCCAGATCTCCCTCCAGATCTTCCTCCAGATCTTTCTCCAGATTTTCCTCCGGATCTTCCTCCAAAACTCTTCCTCCAGATTTTCCTCCAAATCATCTTCCAGATCTTCCTCCAGATCCTCCAGATCCCCCCCCAGATCTTCCTCGGGATCTTCCTCGGGATCTTCCTCGGGATCTTCCTCCAGATCTTCCTCCAGATCTTCCTCCAGATCATCCTCCAGATCTCCTCCAGATCTTCCTCCAGATCGTTTGGACGCCTCGAGATAAAGATCCTGACCTCCTCGCGCTGTCAAAACACCACGACGGCAAGTTTTCGGCAGTTTTCGGCTTCTGGAGGCCCTCGCCTCGCCTCGGCGACGCCTCCTCCTCCTCCCCCGTGTGTTGCTCAAGGTGCCCCTGGCCCGAGGTTCAGGGCAGGAGAAGGAGCCGATGCCGCTGGCCCGCCGCCATGCTGGCCCTCCTGGGTCTCCGGGCATTTTCTCCATCTTTCCGCCGGAGTCGCCTCGAAATTCTGGTCAGACTGCGCCGCGGGAGAGGTCCGGGGGTCAGCGGCGTCGGAACCTTTTATCCCCCCACCAAAGATCACTTTTTTTCCCCCAAAGCAATCCCTGCGGCCATGCTTGGCAAATAAATCCTCTGGTTAATAAATCCCAGAGTTAATGCATGCTCCACGTCGCCCCAGACTCACCGCCAGACGTTCTCACCACCGCGCTCGGGGATTACCAAGCACGCCGCGGAGGGCCGGTTGAGACGCCCGCAACTGGCTTTCGGGGGGCTTCCGCTCAGAGGGGGGAGGGGTGAGACAAGGGTTGCTTGTTTGGCCTGCAGGAGAGGAGGAGAAGGAGGAGGAGGAAAAGGAGGTGGAGGAGGAGGAGGAGGAAAAGGAAGGAATCCTGAGCACGCGGGGTCGCTCAGTCGGTGTCTGTGGGCCGCGACTCCCAGATGCAAGGCCAGAGCAGAAACTCTCCGGACTTGAGCCAAAATGGCTACGGAAGAATTTCCTCCAGATATTCCTCCAAATCTTCCTCCAAAATTTGTCCTCCTGATCTTCCTCCAGATCTTCCTCCAGATCTTCCTCCAGATCTTCCTCCAGATCTTTCCCCAGATCTTCCCCCAAATCTTCCCTCAGATCTTCCGCCAGATCTTTCTCCAGAAATCTTCCTTCAGAAATCTTCCTCCATAAATCTTCCTCCAGGATTGCATGCCTCTTTCACATCTTCAATATCTTCCATAGATCGCCCTTCAGATTTGTTGATCTTCCCCCCACACAATGTGTTCCAGCCATCTCGGTTTCAGCGGGGACGACAGAATTCCAGGGTTCCACAAATGCCCGAAGTGCCACGGATGTTTCCCTGAGTCTTCGAGTGCCGGGCATTGGCTCTCGTGCTGGATCGAAGATCTGGAGGAAGATCTGGAGGAAGATCTGGAGGAAGATCTGGAGGGAGATCTGGAGGAAGATCTGGAGGAAGAGTTCTGGAGGAAGATCAGGAGGAAGATCTGGAGGAAGATCTGGAGGATGATCTGGAGGAAGATCTGGAGGAAGATCTGGAGGAAGATCTGGAGGAAAATCTGGGAATCTGGGGGAAGATCTGGGGGAAGATCTGGAGAAAGATCAGGGGAAAGATCTGGTGAAAGAGCTGCGTGGCGACCCGGAAGGAGATCGGGAGTAAGATCTGAGAGGAAATCTGAAGGAAGATCTGGTGCAAGATCTGGGGGAAGATCCAGGGGAAGATCTGGGAGAAAACCTGAAGGAAGATCAGGGGAAAGATCTAGGGGAAGATCTCTATGAAGATCTGGGGGGAGATCTAAGGAGGGATTGATCTGGGCGAGGATCTCAAGGAAGATCTGGGCGGAGATCTCGGAGAGGATTTGGGCGAAGATCAAGGGGAAACTCTCGGAGAGAATACAGAAGAAGATCGGGAAGAATATCTGAAGACCTAGAGGAAGATCTCGACGAAGATCTGGAAGAAGATCCCGAAGATCTGGAGGAAGATCAGTAAGAAGATGCCAGCGTTAAGAAACTGAACCAGCTTTTGGGAATTCGTTATCGAATTTTAAGAAATTTTGAGACCCAGCTTGGCGGGAGGGAGTTTCTTAACATAAGATCTGAGTGTAGTAGCGGTAGTAGTAGTAGTCGTAGTAGTAGTAGTAGTAGTAGTAGTAGTAGTAGTAGTAGTCGTAGTCGTAGTCGTAGTCGTAGTCGTAGAAGTCGTAGCCGTAGTCGTAGTAGTAGTAGTAGTAGTAGTAGTAGTAGTAGTAGTAGTAGTAGTAGTGGTAGTAGCAGTAGGAGAAGC